GCTCACAATGTCGCGGTCGTGCTCCCTGAGGCCCTCACCGAGCCGGATTGGGTGATCAGAAGAAAAAACAAAGAAGGAGAAAATGGAGAAGAAGGAGAAGAATGACAAAAAGTCCAAGAAGAAAAAGCATGATCCCGACCATGAACCTATCAAGGGCCCGGATGAGGATGGAGATGATGAGGACGATGAAGATTTTGGCTTGGAAGGGCTGGATGCTCTCTTGAACCCATCTGGGGGCACAGGTGGCGAGGGCGGGCAAAGGCCTTCCAAAAGACCAGCTACGAAGAAGACCGCCATGAAGAAGCCTAGCGCAGCAAAGGCACCATGCGAGTTTGATCAATGCTTTCTACAGCTCAATTCTATCCCTATCAACTTAGTTGTGGTTTCTAGTTGACTTTGCTTTAGAATGCCTGGCAGGATGACTCCGATGATGTACCATTCAGGCATCTGATTGAAGATGCTGGCTTTGAAGTTTATCAACAGGACATGGGTGTGGACCCATCTGTGTCTGAAACCCACGGGGCGGTTGGAGAAGCCCCTGAGACTACGGGTGGCTTGGAAGACCCTGAGATTGCGGACGGCCCTGAGATTGCGGATGGCTTAGAAGACCCTGAGATTGCGGATGGCTTGGAAGACCCTGAGATTGCGGATGGCTTGGAAGACCCTGAGATTGCGGCCCATGAATCACGTGAACGTGAAAGAGACGGCCTACTAAGGCTGGAACTGCCCAAAGTTTGAAACCTATCCTAACAAAACCTGCAGCTGTCTGAGTCTTTCCTGCAGGCGATTCAGTCTGCCCTTATGAACCAACACTTGACAGGTACATAGACGAATTGGAACGGGTCAACGACATCGAGTTGATGCGACGTGATACGGATCAGCCTACCAGCAGCGGCGTCTCTGAGCCCATGAGACTTAGTCTCCAAATTTATTCTACTACTTAACTTAGATTCATAATACTACATACAGTATTTCGGTCTGGCGGGGAAAACAAACTTGCCAACACGGCCACACATGCATGAGGTCACAAATCTACCAGTGTGGTCCTGGCTCTCACGATGACTTCTTCTATGACCCTGGACCGGAAGGAGTTGAACGAAAAAAGGAGGAAGAAACAGACTCTGAATCTGTTCATGCCAAGACTGATGTGGATTCTGATGGAGCCCTGGTCCCAGACAACCAACTTGGCCTGGAGAGCAGCGTAGAATCCAAAGCTACCCGCCGCATGGCCCCTCGTCCAATCTACAGATGCTCAAAAGCGTGTTGCCTGAAAGTCTGAAAGTTAATCTTAACGCACTGAATCATTTACTGCTAGACATGCCAAGCAGTCTGAAAGTCAAAGTCCACTGTGCAAAGTGTAAATGTTCAGCCTTTTTAAAGCATTGTCTAGACCGTCAAGTCTTTGTGCTAGACATGCATGATTCCGAGGGGATGTGCACCCCCAAGTCTATGCTAAGGCCTTATCCAGGTTGGAAGCTCATGAAGATTTGTCCCTTCACTTGGATGAGGCAGGGTGTGATCAAAAAGTTAAAGTCTGAAGAGTGTGTTTTTGATTGCTTTTGCATAGTGCATCCTAGGAAGTGGATGATGTAACTATGAGCGCATCTTTGCCAAACGATGGGAGCAATGAACCATGTGGTGATGATTCAAAAACTACATCTATTGCTGAGGGTGATGGGACATTGGACGCATTGGATGCTGGCGACCTTGAACACGAAGTTCCATCGGAGGCAGCGCATCATTGTGCATCTACTATCCAATGCCAATCCAGTTCTTATTTGCAGATTCATTAAGGTTCAGCAAAACACACTCAAAACAGTCCAGCTTTGTTTTTTATTTTTTTGTGAGGACCTTGTCAGTGAGCCCACACTATTGCCTGATGCTTCACCCAATGATCCAGCTTTGCCTCGGGATGCCTCTAAGCTGAGCTGGTTTGCTTGCAAACACTGTGCATTCCACCCATACTCCAAACAGTTTCTCTGCCTATGATTTCCCAGGCTGGCCCAAGCGAACGCGAAGAGCAGTCTGAAGCTGGCAGGAGTTCTTTGCCTACTGCAAAAGCAAAGTCAAGGCCAAAAAGCAAACCAAAAGCTAAGGCAAAGGCAAAGGTCAACCAGCCAAAGAAGAGGGCCCAGGAACCAAAAGGAAAGGCCCAGGCAAAAAAGAAGTCAGCCAAGAGGGCAAGGAGCAAGGACGATGTGCAGAAGCGGATGCATTCAGCGACTCGCTTGAAACACTTGCTTCTGTTTCAGTCCCTTTTGTTGAAAACTCTATTTTGATCTGCCGCTAAGATCTACAGTGTGGCATGTAGACCCACTAAAACCCATTGGATGAGGATCCAACTGGGTAGCACCAATGCGCAAAGAACTATACATGCTGGTACAGGGATTCTGCAGGGGCCCCTGAACCGGTCTCGGAATTTCTGTCGTAGTCACCTGAACCATAGCTTTTTGGCGAGTGCAAGCTGCAGTTGAGTCCCGGGGTCGGCGGCAGGGGCGGCAGCCCTTAAATAAATCAAACAAAAGACTTTTCTTTCCTTTCTTGCACCTAATTCTGATCCAAAACGAACCTCCCCTGATCGCACTTTCGATGTCACACGCCCCCTCTGAATCCCTATAAAGAAATAAATAAATAAAACAAAAGACTTAGCTTTTCCCCATCTAATTCTGGTCCAAAACGAGCCTCCCCTGATCGCACTTTCGATGTCAAACGCTCCTCTGAATCCCTATAAATAAATATAAATAAATAAAACAAAAGACTTTTCTTGCCTATCTTGCGCCCATCCTGGCTCCGAACACCTGGCCCCGCCACAGCTTTTCTCCATCTAATTCTGCTCCAAAACGAGCCTCCCCTGATCGCACTTTCGATGTCAAACGCCCCCTCTGAATCCCCATATATAAATCAAACAAAAGACTTTTCTTTCCTTTCTTGCACCTAATTCTGATCCAAAACGAACCTCCCCTGATCGCACTTTCGATGTCACACGCCCCCTCTGAATCCCTATAAAGAAATAAACAAATAATACAAAAGACTTTTCTTTCCTGTCTTGCGCCCATCCTGGCTCCGAACACCTGGCCCCGCCACAGCTTTTCCCCATTTAATTCTAGTCCAAAACGAGCCTCCCCTGATCGCACTTTCGATGTCAAACGCCCCCTCTGAATCCCTATAAAAAAAAGACTTTTCTTTCCTTTCTTGCGCCCATCCTGGCTCCGAACACCTACCGCCGCCACAGCTTTTCCCCATCTAATTCTGCTCCAAAACGAGCCTCCCCTGATCGCATTTTCGATGTCAAACGCCCCCTCTGAATCCTATAAATAAATCACTAAATCAAACAAAAGACTTTTCTTTCCTTTCTTGCACCTAATTCTGATCCAAAACGAACCTCCCCTGATCACACTTTTCTTTCCTCTCTTGCGCCCATCCTGGCTCCGAACACCTGGCGCCGCCACAGCTTTTCCCAATCTAATTCTAGTCCAAAACGAGCCTCCCCTGGTTGCCCTTTCGCTGCCACACGCTGCCTCTGAATCCCTAGACAAAAGAAGTTTGTTTCCATTCTCGTCTGGATCGTCTGGATCCCCGAACACTTGAACCTTGTGTTCCTGTGTCCTGAAACCTTCTGTCCCTGGAAAATGTTAGCATGGACA